TGCCCACTGTCTCTAAGGTTCCTTGTCACTGCTTCTAGCAGCCGTTGCTCACTCTGGACAACATGTGAGATGCTCCACTGACTCATGAAAGTCACTAATCCATGTGTCCTCTTGTCCTTTGCAGTTCTTTGATTAGTCAAGTGACACTGCTGTGGACATGTTGGCACAGCAGAGACACATCTCCAACACCTGCTCTAGAGAAGAGTCGAAAAGCATAGCATGCAACCATTGCACCCAGAATGCAGATCTATACAGTTCCTGTTCTGGAATACCCAGTAACTCCCCGAGGTGCCTAGAGACACCAGTTCCCAGCAGCAGGACCCAGCATATGGACATTACACGAAGCCTCTCATTTTGCCAATCAAATGTGTATAAAGTAACATCCACTTTTGTTTCTAGAGACAGGTTTCTCTGTACAACAGTCCTGGCTTTCCTGGAACTCACTTTGTAGACCAAGCTGACCTCAAACTCACTGAAATCCTCCTGACTCTGCCTTCTGATTGCTGGGATTAAAGGCATGTGCCACCACTACCCAGCAACATTCAGGTTTGGGTAAAATTATATTTCCATAGTAACTGGAAAGGAGGTGCATATACGTGTGTGTGTGTGTGTGTGTGTGTATAGTGTATGTGTATATATTACACATAGCAATATAAATATTTATAAATAAAACATAATAAATATAATTGTGTTTGCATTGTAAGTTTTTGTTCTTATTGTTTTATTCATTAACCTAAATATATCATCATATTTTTCTTTTCTAATTATAGGAGCTTTTCTTTATTTTACTATATGTTCTGAATACTGGCTTGAGGAGATGGCTCAGTCAGTAAAGCACTTGCTTCACAAGCTTTAGGGTCCGAGTTCAGATCCCCAGAACCACATAAAAAGCTAAGTGCAATGGTATGCACTTGTGTTCCCTGTGATAGCAAAATGGGAGGAGACTGGTGGATCCTTAGAGCTCTCTGAACAGCTAGCATAGCCTATGTGGCAACTTTTCAGGCCAAGGAGAAACTCTTGTTTCACACAAAAAGTAGAAGGCACCTAAGGAATGACCTGAGGCTGTCCTCCAGCCTCATGTGTGTACCTGAATGCACACATGCTGTATGAAGGTGTGTGTGTGTAAGGGGGGGAAGGGAGAGAGAGAGAAAGAGAGAGAATTAGGTATGCAAAATGAGGACACTTCAGAAACTCAACAGTCAGAAGTAAACTGCACCCTAGTGGAAAGATTTAGTGAGCTGGCAGATGGTCCATAAGGACAGAGATGGGTAACTCTCAGGGAGGACAGTTCTGAGCCAGTAGGAGAGAACACAGTGAGGAATTTCCACCAATGTGAGTTAATGTCAGGATGTAGACAAGTAATGAGATGACCCAAAAGGCTTGGAAAAGCCTGAATGGAGGACACAAACTTCACTTGGTAGAGTGAAACCCTGTGTGCGCTTAAAGACACGGGAATGGGGTTTCAGAGCAAGGATGGAGATGGAAAACATAGCTTCCTTCACTGAAATGGCAGTGAGGTTGGCAGCAGCCTTCTCAACAGCAGCCAGCAAGTAATATCTTTAAAATTCTGATAGAAAATTGCTATCACCAGGGAACTCTGTACCAGTTAAACAGTCATTCAAGAATTAGATGAAAATAAAGAGTGTACATTCATAAGCTTAAGGAGAATACCCCAGAAACAGTTGCCAAGAGAGCTACTCAACAGAGGCATTTTAGTAGACGAGCACACACACACACACACACACACACACACACACACACACACACACACACGAAGCAAGTTAAATTCCTACATATAATTAACTATTGAATACAAAAACTAATTTCGTGGATTTCTAAGTGAAATCAAAAGTTAAGATAACAGTAGGAAGAGGCAACAGGCTCAGATAGTACTGAGCTGGGTTACCCAGTGGCTCCCCAAGGTGCCTGTGGACACCAGTTCCCAGAAGGGGGACCCTGTGATTGTCAACACATGGACATTACACCAAGCTTCTCATTTTACCAATCAAATGTGTATAATACAATGTCCAATGTGGGGTAAAATTCTATTTTCCTAGTAGCTGGAACATATACACGTGTGGGTGGGTACAGGAACATGTGTGGAGGTTGAATTCAACCTCAGATGTCATTCCTCACAAGCTGTCAACCTTGTTTTTTGAGACAGGGTCTCATTGGCCTGGTTGGCCAGAGAGCCCTAAGAATACATTTGTCTGCCTACCAAGAGCACAGACTGCTACAGGCTCACACAGCTGTACCTAAACTTTCAGGTGGATTCTGGGGATCTAATCCAGGTTCCCGTTTGTGTGTGGTGAGCACTTCACTTGACTGAGCCAACAGAAAGGCCTCTCTGATGGCATGTGTGGCCAGGCTGCAATGGCCTGCCTTCTCTGCCTCCTCTCAACGGTCTCTTGTCCCAAACTTTACCAACATTATAACCAAATAGAAATTCGGCTGCTGGCCTCCATCTCTGCCATGTTGATGGGGCTACTGAAGACTATTGGTTAGAGTACACCCAGCCACACACATACCACTTAGATTTTCTAAGTGTTATAGTTTTCTTTGGGGGGGGATTTTTAAAAAATACAATTTACTCCCTATTTCATCATCAGTTCTAAGTAATCTGCTAGTAAATGATGAATTGGGAAACTATTATTTAAGTGTATTAATGTACATATATGGGGGGGGTACCACGGTTCATGTGTGAATGCCACAGGACAACTTTGTGGAATTGGTTCCCTCCTACCTTTACCTAGGGTCTAAGAATTAGCTCAGTGAATTCACCCACTGAGCCATCTTGCTGACTCGAATAAACCAATTTTGTTGCTATTGGGCTGTGTTTTTTGGTTTTGTTTTCTCTAGACTTCCGCTTTAGTTCCTTCTCATACTTTCGGAACAGTTCCTGCTTTCTGCTCTTGCTGTTTAGCAAAATTACATCAATGTGCACTATAGCTGAGAGCACACCTTATTATCCAGACCAGTTCATTTCCGGTGGTTTCCGGTAATTTGATCACGTGTCACGATGCCCTGTGTGTGACATATTACTCACTAAAACCTGTGAGACTTTCTAAGATCTCAAGTTCTGGCTTCCAGAAAGGAGTGGCATCACAGCAGTGCTCGGGATCTTCTGGGACCCGCAACAGAGCTTCTATCCCCACCGGATCTGGTTTTAAGGCAGTTCACCATGTTCTGGTAATCTCTCTTTTCTATCGGTATCCCTTTCCTCTGGAGTATGATGTGGTTTAGTGGGTATGGCTCTGGTTGAGCTGCCTCCCAGAATGCAGTCCCCAAGTGTTCCCGTTCAGAGGGTCTATACCCAACCAGCCCCGGAAGCGACAAGGACACCTCTCTGCCTCAAACCCTGCACCAGCTGCTACCTCTGCGCAGGCGCGGAGGGCAGCGGTCAGCTCAGGGCAGCCTGCGGCCAGAGGATCCATTGCCCTGGAAGACATTGGTCTGATCAGCAGAAGCATCGCTCGATCTCCTTCGAGTCCCCTCCCCAAATCCACCCGCCTGCCTACTAGTAGTCTCTTTCTAGCCTTGTCACCCACCTCCAGCGTAAGAGGCCGTAAGCACACACGTACCGAAGGCACCCCACCCCCGCCCCGCGGCTTGACGCCCTCCGGCCTCCGTAAGACAGCTGCGTCTCCGTGGCGACGGCGTGTGCCGCGCGGCTCCTTTGTTAGATGGTGCCTGAGCCTCTCGGAGGCGGGGCAGCCGGCGTGCCGGGGCGGAGTCACAGGTGGGCGTGGAGGAGGCTCGTAGGGAGGAGGGTGGGGTGCTGCGATGTCAATCACCGCTGGCCCTGCCGGACTGGAAGGAAGCGAGCTTCTGATTGAACGATGTAGGACTGTGGGGCGGGGCCACCGGGATGGTAGGCGTGAACTCCGGGGTTGATGGGCAGGACCGGCTCAGGGACTGGCCTACCGGGCTGTGGGTCTGCTTGGAGTCCTTTGAACACTGGCCTCTGAAAGTGCGGTGGTGGGAAACGACTATGACCCCTGACCCTCTACAGTGGCTGTGGCCCCCACCCCCAGGATAGAAATTGAGTTCTGCCTAACCCAGCCCCAGTGTGGAAACCTCACCATCACTTGTCAACAAATTTGCCTCACAACGTAATCTGTTGGAGGCAGAATCCTTTCCTCCTATTTCCAAGGTGTAGATAAAAGAAACAACAAACCACGGAGTGTGCAAAGACCTGGAGACCTTAGGCAGCCCTTCCCCAGCGTGGAGATGGGGGGGGGGGCTCATCTGCCAAGCAGATCTAGGCTCCCCATGAAAAATTACCTTCTCCCTAAAGGAGAGTGACATTTAGGCACGTGTGCCAGTCTTTGGGTTGTCTAGCTGACAAATGATCTCAAATCTACAAGCATTCTAGTCATCGTCTTTGCTAGGATTGTTTTGAAAGTATACTCTGACAAAGCAAAAGGATTATTGAACTACGATGGAAGATTGACATTGCCTAAGTTTTTCCTCGGTGCCCCCCTATTTGGTCTGGCCTGGGCCAGACTAGGAGCAGGGGGCTGGCTTCCTGACTTCAGGGTCTTGGACACAGGGAGCGGAGAACCAGCATAGAAATAGGAAACTGGATTACCAGAAACCCTTCCCCCAGTTGGTTTGCAAACTTTAAAAGTCTGTCTGTTTTCATCCTAGTTTTCACGCTTGTTTTCACTGGTACTTTCCAGTTAAATTGTAGCCAGGTGTATAGTTGCCTATAATCCTAACACTTTGAAGGTAGATGCTGGGAAATTAGGAATTCAAAGCTCACCACAGTGAGTTGGAGGCCAGCCTGGGCTACTTGAACCTCCTCCTCAGATCATAATCATCATTAAATTTTATGGTACAGTGCGAGGAGCAAAGAATTTAACCAAGGCCTTCTTGTGTTCCAATATTTAAAAGTTTAAAAGTCGAATTCATGGTACTGTTGCCTTTTCAGCAAGTCAAGCCCCTGCAGATGCACCCTGCCTGGTGTGACTTCTGTTGGCTAGCACCTCCTCCCCCTTCCTGTCTCCAGGTGACTCCACACCAAGAAGAATGAGCGGTAGCCCCTGGAGGGCATCAGATGGAGGACACCAGCACCAATGCAGTGGTGGAGGACGCTGCCAGTGATCCTGAGGATGCTGCTGTTGTCAAGGGCATACCTGGTTCCTTTTCCAGAGATGCTAATGAAACGAGTTTTGAGGGAGTCATCTTCTCTTCCTCACCAATTTTAGACCTGAGTCAAAGAGGCCTGTGCCATTTGGGAGAGTTCTTTAAAATTCCCAACCTTCAAGTAAGTGCCCAGTTCCTGGGAGGGTGTGGTGCACAGATGCTTGCAGCCAGAAACAGAATCAGCACTGGGCTTTTGTCCTTCTTGTGGGGTTAACTTGGGTTTCATAGGCTGACCACAACAAAGAGAAATTGAGATGTGGTACCAGGCAACAGAGAGAGTGTGTGTGTGTATGTCAGGTATAAAAATGGGACAGCCTTCTCTACCCTGCAGGTTGTCTTTCTTCATGGGAAAGTCCCATGCTGAGATCAGCCTTGGAGGAGACCACTGCCCAAACAGGCTAGGTCTCTGATTTAAAACATGTGTCTTTCTGCAGCCCCTTGGAACTGTGAAAATGGAAGTATTCTCTTGTTACCTTGGACTTTGCTGTGGTCTTGGACACGGCTTTCCTTTGTGTCAGCCCCCCTTCAGGGCACTCCTTAGTCATGTTGCATTGTCCCCAAGCTTTCTGGAGCAAGCAGTGTTGATGGCAGACAGGGTAGAGGATACCCCAGCAGTGCTGGCACTGCCCTTGTGTCATGGAATGTCTTTAAATTGCATTCAGCTTCTTCGGGAACCTAGAAATATTACTGTGATTTGTTGTAAGATGATACAGTAACATACATCTAACCCAGACTCATGACTAGCTGAGAAGACAGATGTTGCTATGAATGTATTACTATGAAAAAAAATCAGCCAAAAGATGGTGTTACACACCATTAATCCCAGGACTTGGGAGGCAAAGGCAGGCAGATCTCAGAGTTTGAGGCCAGCTTGGTCTACAGAGCAAGTCCCAGGACAGCCAGAGCCACACAAAGAAACTCTGTCTCGAGAAAAAAAAAAAAAAAAAAAAAAAAAAAAAACAGTGAGGTAATAACTACCCAAAGCTATAGACCATTATCGGTTATGGGCTGCATTTTGCAAGTATTTATCAATCAGTCCCTGAAGTTGTAAATTCCATGCTGGAGACATTGATGATGCTCAGAGGACATGGAAAGAACCCTGCTCACACTAGAACTTGGAGGAAGGACACAACAGCATGACTGACTCCAGACAGAGCAGAGCCAGCGTTGTAGGCTTTCTGGGGAGGGATGATAGCATGTTAACCTCCCTAATGTTCATTTTCCCACATTCAGAAGGAACCTTGGTTTCCAGTCTTGAGTATCAGGATTAGCTCACACATACAGGAAAAGAGCATACAAAGGGCCAAGCAGAGTCACAATGGAGGCTTGCATGTGCATGTCTTTAAGAACATGTGTCCTCATGTGCTCAGAGATACACATGAATGTATAGGGATGTGTCCCCTCATATGTATGATGCAGGCATAAACATGCTGTGTGGAGTGACTTCTGCTACCATATGATTGAAGAAGGCATGTCCACATGTGGAAAAGGAAAAGTATCCTCACATGTCTAGAGACAGGCACATGTATATGGATGTGGATATGTATTCTTATGTTCCTGGGGGATGTATGTAAATGGAGACATGCATTACGTAGAGGCATACATGTTGTATGTGGGGTATGTATTCTGTGAACTTGAAAGTATGCATAAGCGTGGAGTCAAAGATATTTGTCATATCATGTACTCCTAACTGCCACTTTGCTCTCCAGAAACCATGCCAGCTTCCAGCAGTCAGAGACTGATGGTTTCCAAACTGATGTTTTATTTTCTTTTTTTAACATTTATTTTTACATGCACTGTTGTTTTACCTGTGTAGTAGTGTTGGGACCCCTGGATTTATAGTTACAGACAGTTGTGACCTGCCATGTGGGTGCTTGGAATTGAACCTGGGTCCACTGAGCCATGTCTCTAGCCCCAAATGTTTGGAAGTCATCTATATTAAGCAGATGGGATCAGTAGAATTGAGAGCAGTGAAACCCTGAAGGAGGGAAGCCGCCTCTGGCTCCTGGACTAGGAAAGCAGCACACTCACATTTCCTGTGCCACCCTGCCAGGGAGGTCCTATTACCTCCACTCTGCGGGCGAGGACACTGGAGAACAGAGGGGCGCAAGACCTTGCTCAAGGTCACATTGCTAATAGTTTTTGAAACCTAGATTTATACTCAGGCAGCTTGGCTCTAAGGTCAGTGTTCTGTTCATCTGATGTTGCCCCATGACAAGTGTGGATGCAGGTGTAAATGTGGACGATACAACTCTTACAGCATATAGCAGTAACATTTATGGAGGCATTTTAAAAATGGCCTATAACCCAACCACAGTGTGACTGCAAAATTACACATACATGAGCTGGCAAGATGGCTAGGGAGGTAAGTTCAAGCTTGCCTAGCAACCTGAGTTCTATCCCCAGAACCCATGTAAAGGTGGAAGAAATAACTGGTTCCACAAAGTTGTCTTTTGATTTTTCACATGTATGCTGCTCTGTGCATGCACACCATGCACACATGTAATTCACAATAATAATAAAATCATATATATGAATTATGTATGTGTTAAATATTACATATATAATTCATGTAAGTGATAGTATTTTCCCTTACCCAGGAATGTCCAATAGAAAATATCAGGAACAAATCATGTTTTAATCACATAAAATGTGTCCTTATAACCATTCTATAGCTTTATTGGTTATTAGTGGTCTCTTGCTGTGCGGACTTCACCTGCTACACTTCATTGTGGGAGTGCACAGATAGGCAAACAATGTCCCAGTGCTGTTTGTGGCTTCAAGTATCCACTGTGGTTTCAAAGTGGGACAAGATTTTACAGAGCTTAGATCAAATGGATCATGTCTTCCTACCTGGGTGATGGCTCATTTCTGTGTGGCTGGTCACCACAAATCATGCTACAGTAGACTGTATCTGTGTCCCATAGCTCCCTCCTAACTGCTAACTTGGAATGAGTCAGGCTCTTACTGTTTGTTCACTGGGTTTGCTGTGAGGATGGTACTGGGTGTGGCCAGGGAGAAGGGAAACAGTGTTAGGTTTTAAATCTCTCCAATTCTTGTGTCTACTGTTTATATTCTTTAAGGGTAATTTTTTTCCGGTTTGACATGTAGTTGTGGTTGTTTTAGTCTCTTTGGAGATGGTTTTTGGATACATCCTGTTTTAAATTTCACTGGCTGACAAAGCATCCTCTGGTCCCCTTCTGTGGAAGCAATTACACCTGCAGAGGAATTCGCTCAGTGGGATTCCAAGGGATTTCTTCCAGCTGCTGCCCAACCTGACATGGCTGGACCTCCGTTACAACAAGATCAGGTCTCTTCCTTCTGGGATCGGCTCTCACAGGTAAGGGTCTGCTCCTTAGGTGTGCAAGTCGGTTGTCTCCAACTGGGCTGGGCACTTAGGAAGCAGAGGCAGGTCTCAAAAGAAGACACAGCTCACAGATACATGGTCAGTAGATCCAGGTGCAGCTAACCATGTTGTGATGGGCTCTTTAACATGGTAGAACATGGCAGCCTTGGTGCCTCTTCTAGAAAGTCCACATGGTTTCTTGCATAACTGGTTCCACCCTGACCCTGCTGTGGGAAACCAGCTAAGCTCAGGAGTACCCTGCATATATAAAAACCCGGCCATACTTTGTCATGGGCCTGGGAGAACCCTCCCTGTCTCTTGCGGGGGAGTTTTGCCCCTTTTGGAAAGCTGGAAACCCTCCAAGCAAGCAATATAGACTGACTTGCCACGTTCGTGCTCTCCCACCCCCCACCCCAGCTTCCCAGGGTTTCCTGGAACTCCCAGTTACAGAGCTCACCCTTGACAACCAGCCTTCCACCCAATACTCCCCTGCAGACTCACCACCTCCTTTCCTGGGCCCTCTCTCTGTGCCATGTCCCCCTGTACCAGTGTTACATCTGCCCTGGATACTCACTTCAGGCCCGCCTCTCACCTCACACATCTGGGCACAGGAAAGAGCTGACAAGTCCCTTACCAGGTATCAGGGACATGGTAGGAAATGGGGCCGAGAAGGCCTCCAAGGTTTGGGGTCTGTGTTCTCAACTTAGAAATTTATTTTGAAAGAACCGAATGTGAGTAGGGAAAGAATTAGACCTGGCCCCCGATCACTGCCTAAGGAAGCAAGCTGGAGGGCAAAGGAGAGAAGGAGTTGGCAGGCAGCCAGGGCAGTGGCCCATGTGGGAGGCTTGGCCAAGTGACTGGAGCAGGGGGATTGACATCGACAGGAGACTAGAAAACAGAGGTGTAGAGGTTGACCCCAGTTCCAGTGTAGGAGATCATGAGTCCACTGTGTTTCAGCATAAGGTTTGCAGAGGAGCCTGGCTTGCTCTGGAAGCTCCATTTTCTTAAGTATCGTTCAAAAAGTATTGTGTGAAAAAATTTAAATAAAAATGGGGGGGTGAGTACTTCACACAAATGATAGTGAAAGCAAAAGCCTTTGCTCTTCAGTCTCCAGCTCAGCGGGGAACAGCTTGTTTTGCTGTTTCTGAGCTGGGGCTGCACCAAGAACCCTCCTTGGAGTGCTGGGGACCTTGGAGCCTACAGGATAAACCCTGCATGGGACCGATGAGGGGTGAGCACGTGCCTGACCAGCAGGTGGTTGAGACAGCAGAGCTGGATATTTTGAATGGATATCAGGGCTGTTTCCACCCAGTGATGCCTGCCTGGCCAAGCCACTTGGTCTTCTGAGCCTGTGGCCTGTGCAGAGCGGTTTTCTTCCTCACAAGTGGGGACAGCTGAGTGGTGTTTGTCCACAAATTACTTTATGGTTAGCACTCAGTCTGTCCGGTAGTTGTTGTCCCTGAGGGTTAAGGTCACATGAACCCTGCCTCTGAGGAGCCCACTTATTGTTTCTTTTCAAAAGGGATGCCTAATTCTCAGATCTGGAATCCTTGGATTTTGACAGTCCAAGCCAGCTGCTTTGTGTTGTTTAATTTATAATTGAGCCTCTGATTTTACACCCATTATGCCATTAAAATTGGATCTACTTGCTGAAGGGCTGAAACATATTAATTAGAAATTTTAAGTAATTATGGGCTCATTAAAGGCTTTAAAGTTAAAAAAAATTAAAACAACAGTATCATCAGAGGCCCCCTCCTCTGTGTGTGGATATGTAAATGTGGGTGCAGAGACTAAAACAAGGCACACTGATTCCCTCTCCTGAGGCTACAAGCTGGCAGGTGTATGCTCAGTTGTGAGTTGGTACTGAGGTTCACACAGAGGACAGTCTATAGAGACTGACACAGGTTCATCATGACAGGCAGAATCCCCCTCCACATACTTTCAACTTAACATTTGGTAAGTATTAAATACTATAAGTTCTTCAAAAAGAACTCAAGCCAATGAGCTGGAATGCCTTTGCCTTTGGCAAAGTCCAGGCACAATGCTGAGTCATCTGTTCTGAGTCTCAGTCAGCTCACAGAGAGCTGAATCCTTGCTGCCTCTTCCATACAAGCAGGTTTAAAGGTCACCACAGCAAAGCCCATGAGCTGAGTCAGGACGGTTCAAGTAACCAGCCTCCATGCACATTAGGTTAAGTTTCTTAGGGCAGAAGAGATAGGTCAGCGGTTGAAGGGCTTGCTGCACTTGCAGAGGAGCAGGTTAGGCTCTCTGCGAACACCCACATGAGCAGTTCAGGACCATCTGTAACTTTAGTTACCCTCTTTAGGCCTCCATGGACACATGGTGTGTGTATGTACACATAGGGCATAAAAACCGTGCATGCACACAAAACTTTTTAAAAAATCTTTCAAAAGAAAAGTTTATTCATAAAAATTCAAATAAGGCAAGATGTGTGTGACTGTAATCCTAGCACTGGAGAGGTAGAGGCAGGAGGATTGTTGAAAAATTGGAACCATCCTGGTCTGCATTGCAAGGTCTAGAGCCAGCCGTGCTGTAGAGTAAAACTGTCTCAAAAACAAACTTCAAATAATAAGAACGCCTGTGAAAGTAACACTGTGGTGAGTGATGAAGTAAGCAGGCATGAGCTTTGCTCCATGTGCTGAGGCTATAGTGCTCTCCACCCCAGCATGCCTTCTCTTTGCTTCAGGCCCATCAGATGTGATCACACTAAGCCCATCAGTCCAGAGGGCAATGGGTTCAGCATCATTTGGAGTCTGGGTGTAGCTCAGCCCAGAGCCCTACTCTCTGCTTGCACTGAGATGGCCATGAGAGAGACCCATCTTTGAGTAGACAGTACAGTGAAGGAATAAGCCACCTGAGACCTTATGCCAGATTTTAGGTGAAGGTCCCTGAGAAGTAAAGAGAAGGAGAAAGCAATAAACTAATAATGGGCATCGTCTTAAGAATTAAAAATGATAATCTCAGCACTTGGGAAGCAGAGACAAGTGAATCTCTGTGAGTTTGAGGACAGCCTGGTCTACAGAGAGAATGCTAGGACAGCCAGGACTGCACATAGAAATCCTGTCTTGAAAAGTAATAACAAAACAAACAAACGAAACGCCATAATAGGTGCAGGACAGAATTCAAGGTAGCTCTCCTGCTGCCCTCCTATTCTGAGGTGGTTGCTAATAGTACATAGTGTGGATGTGTGTTAGGATGTCAATAACCAAGAAAAGGAAGATGAGGACTTTGACACTTTTTACAAATGATCTTTTAATCTTTTGCTTTCTAAATTGTTGCTTTGTTTTCTTTTAAAGACATTTGAAAACTTTGCTTTTAGAAAGAAATCCTATCAAAATGTTACCCGTTGAGCTAGGTAAGTACCACAATAAAGTGAAAGGTGGCTTTAAATGCTCTGAAGTTCCTGGGGCTCATGATGGAGGGGTGAGGCATAATAGAGGGAGGGAGGCAGCAAGATGTTCAAAGGCTCTCTCCCAGTTTATGAGTTACTTTTCCAGTCGCTGTGATAAGATGCTCTAACAAAAACAGCTTAAGGAAGTAAAGATTGTTTGGGCTCACAGCCCAAAGGTTCACAGAGGGGAAGTGACAGAGGCAGGAGGTCACATGGTATCTCCAAGCAGGAGGCAGAAAGAGGTGAATGTCAGTGCCTGGCTCATTTTCTTCCTTTTCTACAGTGCAGGATCCCAGCCCTGGGAACAGTGCTACCCACTGTGGCTGGGGCTTTCTCTCTTATTTAACACAATACTTATCACAATACTCCCCACAAGGAGCTTTTCCAGAGGGCTGTCTCCATGTTCCTTATAGGGTGCCTACTCTCAGGCAGAGGAGCTGTTAACACATGTGTTGTCTGTGCCAAGGCCAGATGAGCTTTGCATATAGCACACAGCCTAAGAAAACTTGGTCATATCATGCTGTGTGCTGCTGGCATGTGGCTTTGTTCTCTCTGGGAGCCAGTGTTGAGTCCTAGCTGTTTGGGTTCCGTGCCTTCCTTTGAACTTAGTCTCAGTTCCTTGATTCTTTGGTTCACATGTGCTTCTGAGGCCCAAGTGGATTTGTGGGGCCACTCACTCCCTTGTGTGCATTTTCTCTGCTGTAGATGAGGAGTATGCAAAATTTCCCCTTCACATTGATTTGTCTTCTCTACTCTCTCTTATCTTTGTCTAAGTTTGATTTGCTTTTTTTTTTTTTCAACTTTGTTGAGTGGAAACTTGGATTTTGGTTTCAGATTTCTCTTTTCCAACATACATTTGTCCTAAACACAGCCTTCACTGCGGCCGAGTGTTGTGACTGTCCTTCAGTGAAACATGTTTTCCGGTGCAGTTCACCCATGGGCTATGTTAAAGTTATCTTCTTCATTGCTGTGACCGAACCCTTGACAACATAGCTTGAAAGTAGAAGGATTTGTTTTGGCTCACGTCAAAGAAGGCAAGACAGAGTTCACTGTGACAGGATATGCAGCTGGGACAGCTCAGGAGGCAGAGAACAGGGAATACTGGTGCTTGTGGCTTTCTGCTTTTTGCCTTTTCAGTCAAGGACCCTGATCCATGGGACGGTGCTGCTCACATTCAGGCCCCCCCTCCCCTTGGTGAAACCTCTCTGGAGACACCTCACAGACACACCAGAATGTCTCCAAATCACCCTGGTTAATTGTGAAGAGTAGCACAGCTTGTTATTTAGTTATACACTGGAAATTCTCACTCTGGCTTTCTGTGGTGAATGGTGCGTTTCATTTTAAAAGACAGAGGCTGTCAAGCCAGATAAAAATGCAGAAGTGACCTGTGCAGTCCACTCACAGCTACTAGAAGGCAGGAAGTTTGGGCACTGGCAGCTGGAAGGGAAAGGAAGCAGCAGGCATGAGAACACAGTGACTTCATGATAGTTGCTTACTGAGTCAGAGGCTCCGGGTAAGCAGGCGACAGTGTTTGGTGCCATTCTGTCACTAAAGCACCATAAAGACATCTTTGGCTTCCCTTAGTCTTTCTTCTCAACACCATCAGTTGGCCATGGTGCCCATCTAGAAGTGGAAGTGTGGGGGAAGGCGCCCAAAATGACACACATGGTAGGAAATAGAGCCCATGAGTTGGTCTGTCATGCACAAGAACAAATATGGAAGGCCATGGCTTGTTTTCACTTCAGCTTGAGACGGGGGTGGGAAGCGAACTCTAAGACAGTCTTAGAAAGTGTCAATTCAACCAAGTTGGGTAACTCAAGCCTGTAATCCCAGAACTTGGGACATGACACAGGAGGATTGCTGTGTGTTTGAGGACAACCTGGGTTAAATGGTGAATTCTAGGCCAGCCTGGGCAGCAGTAGAATGAGATCCTGTGTCCACAGAAACAAATGTATAAATAAATGAATGATAAATGTCAATCACCATCAACTGTTTCCCCATCTCTTTCTCCTCCTCTTCCTTCTTTTGACAGTGTTTTGTAGCCCAAGCTGGCCTTGAACTCCCCCATGTCCCCATGTAACTGACGATAACCTTGAACTCAAGATCTCCATGACTCTACCTGAAACCTCAGCACATGCCACCATACCTGGTTAATGCTGGGCATGGAACCCTGATTCTTGCACAGACTAGGCAAGAACTCTCAACATAGCTGCATTCTCTGCTCCATCTTATATCCACTGCTAAGTTCCTCTGCTAAACTTTTCGTTGCAGTTATTGCCATGTTCAACTCCAGAACTCTTGGCACTTTTTGATACTTTGTTTCGTTAGCACTCCTATTTGACTATGTGTTATATTTTCCTTGAATTAGTTATGCATCTTTTTTTTTTTTTTTTTTGCTGTTGTTGTTTTTTACATCTTACTTTCCTTTTTTTCTTGGCTATATTTATAATGGCTGCTGAAGCCTTTATTTGCTAATCTGGGCTGCCTAAGGGCAGTGTCTGTGACACCTGTCTCCTGTCACCTCCCTGTAGGGCCTATTCTTTTCTTTATATGTCACATAGCTTTTATGGTACAAAGAGACATTTTTGGTAATGTAGCCACTTTCTGCTACGAATTTCACTTGAAGCTTGCTGTTGATTGGTTTGTTTTTATTATCATTGATTATCTGTCTCCCCTGAAGAGTTTTGTTCATACTTTTTATTACATTTATTTATTTTGCGAGTGTGCAGTAGTACCATGGCATGAGTGTGGAGGCCAGAGGACGACTTGTAGGAGTGTGGGTCCCAGGGATGGAATTCAAGTCATCAGGCTTGGTGGCAGTGCCTTAACTCACTGAGCCAGCTTTCTGGCCCCACCTGAAGAGTTCTTAAAAGGAAACATCAGATGTTTGTCACCTTCCTCCTCTGCCCTCCTCTCCCTCCTGGGTCCCCCTCTAAGAAGCTCCCCCTCCACTGCAGGGCAGGTCACCACACTGAAGGCACTGAACCTGAGACACTGTCCTCTGGAATTCCCTCCTCACCTGATCGTGCAGAAAGGCTTGGTAGCCATCCTGACCTTCCTACGGATCTGCTCGGTGGAAAATGCCTTCCCTGGAGATGAGTCACCTCAGGGTTTGTAGTGTTTCCTATGACTAGATGATCAGAACCAGACAGAACAACTTCTTCAGCCTCTGTGGGGCTCCCATGGCAAATGCCAGCCCCTAAACTGGCCCAAATGCCATGCCTTGCCCTGGCTCAAGTCCACTCTGAGCAGTCCACACCTGTCTGGGTAGATATTGTAAAAGTTCATGGGAGAAAGCAAGTAGAGCAGTCATCACCTACAACCACTAGCAAGCAATTGCCTTGGGGATCCTTGTGCTCCTCGAGACAGCTTTTTAAAATGCTCCAAGAAGCATATCCTGTTCCTGCCCAGATACCAGGAACTAGCTTAGTAAGCATGCTGTCTCCTTGCAGGATACTTACTAAACTGTCCAATTTTGTCAATATATTGACCCAGCCACAAAGGAGAGGAAGGGAGAGGAATAGCAATCAATCTTTGCCTTGACATATCATGTATGTGCTGGGTTGCAATGTTTTAAAACAATCATATTCATAAAAGGCCTTAGTTTGTGTCTCCAGAATCAGCTCTGAGATAGGGGTTCAAAGGCCCGTGGATGATTTTGGAGGAGTCGTGGGAAACTTGAGAGTGGCATTGGGCAGCCAGGGAAGGAGAGGGGCTGCACTTTAGCAAGCCCTTAGGAGACTTGTATGAAGGACGGGTTGACAAGGACAGGGTAAGAGAGGAAAGGCACTACAGGAAGCAATTCATGTCTTGCAGGAGCAGGAGCAAGCAGGGGACTATGGGTTACTGAGAGGCAGGAGTGAGAGTCTGGATGCAGCAACCATTATGCTAAGGATTGGGGGCAGGGAACTGGGGCAACACCTGGTGGCACATGGTGCAGAAACTAGAGGATGTGTGTGTAGACCCCAGTGAGAAAGCAGCATTCTGGCAGGTAATCTGCGCTGTTGAGAAGTGAGGATGGCATGAAGAGGAGTTAACTCTGCTCCAGATTGGAGGCCCTAAAGGCATAGAAGGTTGAATGCACCTCATTTCCAGGAAAGCTCTGGATCTGGGCCCAGGAAATGGTGTAAGAAGTGTCACTACAACAGCTGTAGGGGTGCAGGTCCACCATGATGTGACAGATGATGGGCGTCCGTGTGACACTCTGTGGTAAAGTTTGTGACTGGAAGTCACCTCTGTTCTGTATGTTACTCAAATTTAAGGAAGGGGTTGTCAACCATAGAGTGGCTAAGATGTTTAATGTTTAAGATCAGAAGAGGCTAGATGGTGGGGTCCAGTCCTGCACCTCCTGACTCATGGTGTGGAGCGGCTTCCCATCTGAGGGCAAGTTTGCAGCCTATGTCCTCAGTGGGCCGGAGCCACAAGGAGTCAAAATTTGTCTTTTCTCAGTTCACACAGAACTAAAATCTCTAAAAAGTCAGCACCGTATTGCCAAAGAACAGCAGGCATATGGGATAGCTTTTAATTGGAAATAAAGACTCAAGATATCTTGGCAGGGGCAGGGGGCGAAGTGAGGGGGGGCAGGAGCAGAAACGTCCATAAGGGTGGCAAGAATGCCTCATGTACATGGGCTAAAGGGTAACTTAGGTGGAGAGGGTGCAAGGAGATCAGGGCTCTTCAAGCAGTGTGTCCATCCCTGCCCAGCAGCTGTTGTGTGTGTCTTCCCTCTAGTCAAACCTCTCTGCAAATGCCCTCATTGTGATACAGGTGTGTCTTCTAGGTGATTCCAAATCCAGACAAGCTGACAATGAAGATTGGCCCCACAAGTACTAAAATGTGTGTCATTTTATTCTACCAGAAGTCTCGGTGGTTAACATGAACCTCAGTGACCTTCCATACCCTGTGCTGGCTCAATCCCGGAAAGGCACATCTAATGAGAAAGGCCTGAATGTCCCAAGCCATAAGGCAGCTGTGGTGAAGGAGAAGGCTGACTTCTTCCCACCCATGGACAGGCTAGACCTGAGTGAGCACTGCAGATCCAGCGCCTCCTCCGAGAACTGGCCCAGTGAGGAGGAGATCAAGCGCTTCTGGAAGCTGAGGCAGGAGATTGTAGAGAATGAGAAGGTGGATGTATTGGAGAAGAAGCTCTTGGCTGTTGAGCTACCTCCAAATCTCAGGGCAGCACTAAATGCCAAGGAGAAAAGGCACCGGAAGCCAGGCCCCGCAGGCAGGTAAGGATTGAAGCACAAGGTCCACTTTCTAAAATGACTGTCTATTCTAAAAACATTATTTAGGCTATGTTGAGTAAGTCCTGAGTATAAGACCAGAACACACCAGTGTCACAGAGCACACTCAGCAGAGTAGACCATGTGGATGAAAGCTTCGGTGTGGTGTGTAATGTGTGTACATGTAGCAGATGTGTGTGGCATGTGGTACTGCATGTATGGAGAAAGAGAATGAAGTGTGCCGTCGTCATATCTCAGGGAAGAATAATGGGCTCCCGGAGTGACAGTCTTAGAGCTGACAGTAGCCAGTGGTTTAAAACTACCTGGCATTTGGGAAGATAACTACAGGAGCTGGGAGTCTGAAGATGACAGGCAGGGGCCTGCTTGGACTATACTGTGGTTTTGAAAATTGTAAATGTTATTTGTGGGATGTGTATATGCACATGTATGGGTACACTTGCCCATGTATGCACCGAGGGAGGCTAGAGGATAACTTCAAATGTCTCACTCTCTGCCTTGATCTTGGAGACAGGGTCCCTCACTGAACCTGGAGCTTGCTATTTGGGAGCAGCTGCCTCCGCCCCCGACTTCACAGTGCTGGGGCAGCAGGTGTGAGCCATTACTCTTGGTTTCTGCATGAGTGCCTGGAAGCCAAGCTCAGGCCCTCACACTTGTGTGGCAAGCACTTCGCCCACTGAATTATCCCTGCAGCTCCTGGGCTTGAGTATTCATCTAAAGCTTAAAGCATTCACAAATGATGCAGCCAAGGTTTGGAGTGCTTGACACCCTGCACCTTAGCATATGGTCTTGGTGGCCTGGGCTGCTGGAATGTTCTCAGTGCCAAGTCATCGGTAGAGAGCAGTAGCATCTGCTCTGCTGTTTAGAAGCCTTTTTCCTCTTTTACACTGACTGTGGTGAATAATAATCATAGCATATTCTAGCAGTCATGGCTCTGGAAGTACTTTATAAGTTGGTCTCTTTTTCAGTCATAGATACCAGGACACAGCCCTGGGAGACTGATATGGCTTGAGAGCTTGGGATATTCAGTATGTGGCCACACTCCCTCTGGTTCCCCTGCTGACCCTGTGCCACCTCCTGGGAGTGGTTTAAAGATGACCTTTCCTCTGGACTTCAGAAGTTCAGTAGCTGGTGGACATCTGGAGGACAGTGTCCTCAGCTGACGTGGATCAGTACTGATGCTGTCCCTGGATTGCTGTAGCTGGGACCAGTGACTATTTCAGTATCCAGTATTCCCACCAAGACCCCTTTAAAGCTTTTCTGTTATTTATTGAAGAGGAGCTGGGGTCTTGGTTTTGGTTGTTGATTTTTTGTTTGTTTGTTTGTTCTGTTTTGTTTTTTGAGTCAAGATCATATACTATAACCCATTTTTGTTTGTTTGTTTGTTTGTTTTCAAGACAGGGTTTCTCTGTGTAACTTTGGAGCCTGTCCTGTAACTAGTTTTCTAGACCAGGTTGGCCTCGAACTCACAGAGATCTGCTTGCCTCTGCCTCACTGGGATTAAAGGCATGCACCACCACCGCCCAGCTCTATAATCCTTCTTTGAAATCTGCACATATTCAGCACTGTTATCTCCCACAGATATGAGTGACCATCATGAAGTTACATTTTTAGCTCTCATCATTTTGTGATTTTCTTTTTCTTTTTTAGAAAGAAGTCCACCTCCTTCAAAGGCATCTTGCCCAGCCTCCCTTCAATGTACCAAACCACAGCTCATACAAACAGGGACGACAGTCATATGGCTGCTCTCAGGGAACTCCAAGAAAAGGAAACAATGCTGGAGCAGCGGAGGAGGTGTGCTTGGGATGGGATAGCATCAGGATTGGGGGCCCAGTGGCCAACTGTGCTGGTATGATATTGTCACCAACCTCAGGCGAGGTCTGGTGGCTTCTGTTCTCCTGGCCAGGCACCTTCCCTCCTTTGGAAGCCCTCACGCACTTCACACAGTCTGTAGTTTTCTGAAATGCCCAGGCTCTTGCTTGGCAGTCCAGAGACTTCTTAGACTCGCACAATGTGGTAGTTAATGGGCATCCTTTGGGCAGTTTACTGTCCCCTGTCTGCATTTTCAAGTGCCTTGAGCTTTTTTTGTGTGGGCCCCCCCCACCCACCCAAGTGCCTTTCTCCTCCCCTGCCCACCCCTAGGGCCTGCCATCATATCTAAGGTATGTTGTCAGTCGTGATTGGTCACCTGTGAGCTTCCCTCATGTTGGTGGCACCATTGGTTTCATGTGGCTAGCTTGTCACCTATCCCATTCTCAACAACTATTCTCCTCTGCCCTACAGCTCCACTGACAATCCAGCTGTGTCCTGTTACGGGCCCCCTGCAACCAGCCAGTATGGACCACATCTACAGTACCACAGGGCCCCAAGCTTCATGGTTGGGTTTGGCCAGTGGGGGATCCCAGTGGACATGTGCAGGGTGGTGAAAGCAAGGGCAGACTCTTTGTCCATATAGCCTCTGTGAGCTCTTAGTCACATCCCACACAATGCCTTTGACTTCATCTTCTCTCTCTCCTACTTAATTTTCCTCACTTTTCCTCCCCTGTCCTGTCAGGATCTGGGATCCTGGCAGCATCAGGCTCAGATATCTGAAGCCTCCCACTCCTCCCCCTCTGAAGTCTGGCTATAAATAAACCTCCTGAGGCCACAATCAGGAATTCTGCCTCTGTTTGTCTGGGACCTGATGGGGACAGACTGCTCACAAGCAACATCCATGGTGGCCCATGGCCAGCATCATACCAGAAACCCTGCAGTCAGTTGTCTTCTTCCTTAGTGGATCACTCAGCTTTGTTGAGAACATGCCTTGTATACAAAGAACCAGCGAATTATCTCCATTGTCCTGCCTCTGTTGTTGTCCCTTGCTGAGGAGCTATGGGGCTCCCACTTTCCCAATTGGGAGCTTCCTGCAGGGTGAGCAGATCTCTCCTGCTCTCTGTGATGGAGAGCTGGAAGAGTGAATGGAATTCCTTGTCCAGGAGCTAAGTAGAAGATTTGGAACATGTCTGAACACTGAGGGCTGGGGACTTGGACCATCTAGGCAGGTGGCAGGACACAGCTACACCTTGGAGGGGGTATAGGGAAGGACCCAGATCTGTACCCCATGTTGGAACCCAGAGGACCCTGGCACCTAGATAGGAGAGAGTTGAGGAGGGAAAAGGGAGATGAGGAGGCCCAGGCCCAGACAGGGCAAGCATGAGCCAGTGCACAGCTGTCTCTGAGTAGGGCAAGAAGAGGCCAATCTGGAAAGGGACCTGGGACCCCAGCCACTGGAGTTGATGGCTAGAGCTGGTTCCAGTAGTCAGGTGGATTTGGGACAGCAGAAGTGGCTTTAATGTGGCAAGCCCTCATCTGCATCCCTGCCACTCTAGATGTTGTGAACTCTATCCCTAGATGTTCACTTGGCCTTGGGATTGAGTGAGATGGAAGGTAAATATTATTTAAAGAGAAAGACCAATATCTTGTGAGAAGCTTCCATGACCCTGAGCAGGGTCTGCAGCCTGGGATGGAGTCAGTGCCTGCAGCCTAGCTGGTTCTTCCCTGGTCGGTGGGATTTGGGGAACCCGGCTGCCACAGCAAGGTATCAACCTGCAGCAGGAAGTGCACCCTGCATCCAGCGGGTCTCAGCTGGCTTCTGCCTACCCCACCTCTGCTCAACGTGACTGGAAGAAGCCCAGCTGAAGGGAAGGGGACTCCCAGCCTTCCACTAACTCTCTATGAACAGGTCGATGGGGGAAGGCTTTGTGCAGCTCAAATGACAGCGGATCTTGCAAGCTCTGCTTGCAGTAACGTATAGCTTGTGACTCCAATGTGACCATGCTTCTTCTCCAGAGACAAGAGAGCTCTGCAGGAGTGGAGAGAGCAGACCCAGCTGATGAGGAGCAGGAGGGAGGCCAATAAATTCCAGCCTCCACATAAGAACATGGTACGTGGCAGGTCAGGTGGTTCTGACCCCATGTGTGAGCATGGTGGGGCTCACACACAGTGTTTGGGCCACCCCTCTGAGTCAGGAGTGCTGTACATAGTCCTACTCTGAGAGCACTGTGGCTGAGGCCTCCGTGTGCAGGACCTGGCCTTCGAGGCTGCTCTCTGCCCACTGACTACTGGTTCCATCTTAAGGACTCAATGTTCCGAAGGGAAAGAGGACAGCCTTGAGGAGGAAGGATCAAATAGGTTGGGCACCATCCTGTAAAGTCTGCACTTTCATGTCAGTCACCTTAAGACCTAAAGAACAGTAGCCTTGCTAACTGTCTCTGACCCCAGAGTCCCCCATCTCAGTCTGTGTTTCACAGAATGGTTGCATAGTGCCCCTCTGAATCCCTTCCCGTCCACTTGCAGATGCTGTTCCAGTAGGGTATAGGGAACAATCAGAGCAGGTATAGGGACCAATCAGCCCCAGGGAGCTGGCTGGTCCTCCAGAATGTGCCTGGTGCCCCTCTGTACTTGGTTCCAGGCAGGCAGGGTGCTTCATCTATCCCTACCCTTGGGAAGCAAAGACGGGTGGATCTCTGTAAAGTTCAAGGCCAACCTGATCCACAAAGTAAGTTCCAGAACAGCCAGAGCTACACAGAGAAACCCTGTGTCCAAAAAAAAAAAAAGTTCCTGTACCAAGTAAGCCATTGGTTAAGTGAATAGTTAAAGAGGGTCCCAAGGGTTTGCACAGGCTGTTCTGATCAAGGTATGCTGGCCTGCAGGTAAGGTCAGTATGCACAAACAAACAAAAGATAAATTTTAGAACTTACAGTAAAGTTCTGAAGTCAGTACAGAGCTCCATACACCCCTTTGATGTTGACATCTAGATCACAGAGCGGTACTCCTCGGAATAGGCATTCCTGGTACTGTAGTATGAGGACCTAAAGGAAGACTGCCTGTCACAAACTTCTCTGGTAGGATCCTCTTATCACCTAGCATTGTTCCCTGGTGTGCTCCGTCTGGGTGGCTCTGCTGACCTGATGCTCTAGGACAGTGCTGAACAGTGACTTTTGTCTGTTGTATCACCATCTGATTTCACTTCCTAGGGTTTAGCAAGAGATTTGGATTAGGGGCAAAGCTACCACAGAGCAGTGTTGTATGTTTCTCTGAGCAGTTTGTCAGGGGTTCATAGTGTACCCTGTGGTAGTTTGAATGAGAATAATCTCCATGGGCTTATATGTTTTAATGCTTGGTCCACAGTTGGGAGAACTGTTAGGAAAGAATTAGGACATGTGGCCTTGTTGGAGGCTGTGTCACCAGGGCTGGACTTCGAAGCTTCAAAAGTCACACCACTCCCAGTTAGCTCCCTTTCTGCTCAACTGTTATCTCAACATGTAAGCTCCCAGCCACTGCTCCAGAGTCATGCCTGCCTGCCTGCCTGCTCGCCGCCATGCTCCCCACCATGATGGTCATGGACTAACTCACTGAACCTGTAACCAAGCACCAAATAAACTCTTCCTTGTATAAGTGGCCTTAGAAAAGTAAGACACCAGTCTTGACCCCTTTCAGGACAGCATGTTTGTCCCCCTGCAGTCATGTTGATCCAGGCCTTGAGACTCATTATTAATGATTCCAACCAGGACCCTTCATCACCAAATCTTCGGTAGGGCCTTGCTGGCAGTGAGTCATGTCCATGTGTCACTGAGTTCTGGTACACCTTGTCTGAAGCAGAGGCCACTGCTGATCTCTTAGCAGGACCCATAGTCACTGATGTCTGGTAGGGCTCATCTGCAGTAGGGCTGGCAGCTGATGGCTAGCCAGGGTTCTGTCACCGGGTTCTTTTAACACCTAACTGTCTCCAGGTTGCCATTGTTCATCTAACTCAAACAATGCTTTGTTACCTTGAGAAAAAAGAAAGGCTGGGTGGTGGTGGAGCAGACCTTTAATCTCTGCACTCAGGAGGCAGAGTCAAGTCAGGTGGATCTCTGTGAGTTCTAGGCCAACCTAGTCTACAGAGCAGGTTTCAGGACAGACTCCAAAAGCTACACAGAGAAACCCTATCTTGAAAAAACAAGAAAGAGAGCGGGGAGGGAGGGAGAAGGAAGGAAGGAAAGAAGGAAGGAAGGAAGGAAGGAAGGAAGGAAGGAAGGAAGGAAGGAAGGAAGGAAGGAAGAAGCCATGGAAATGTTTGCTATAGTAGAATGCCCCAGGAGAGTGACAGAAAGTAGAGGGTGGGGCTTTCACATTCTGATGCTGGTAGAGTCCCTGGGTAGTATGTGTCCCCTGCTCATGATCAGCAGAGACACAGCTCTGTCACCTGTGTGCTACTACTCATCTCTGGCCAGAGGGGTGGTCACTCCTGGAACGGAAGTGCAGGAGATTTGGGTTCCTCCAGCCCAAACAGACGTGTTACCTCGTGTCACATGCACTTTTTACCCAGGAAGCCTTTTTCAAAATTAGTTCCTTAAAGTCATCCTGGAGCCTGAAGCAGGATCTTCCTAATGTAGTGAGGACAACAGAGGCTTCCAGAGAAAGCCTGCTGAAAGCCAGCTTTGGTCACTGCCTTCTGCACTGTGTGTGAGGTCAGATAGGGCTGTGTGTTCCTTATTCATTTAACACCATGTACTATGCAAAGTGTTCACTGTTGCATCCATCTTGTTTTCTATGTGTAAAAAAATAAAAATACTTCTATTAACTGGGTGGTAGCTCAAAAAAAAAAAAAAAAAAAAAAAAAAAGAAGGAAGGAAGGAAGCAAGAAAGAAAAAGAAAAAAAGAAAGGAAGAAAGAAAGGAAGGAAGAAAGGAAGGAAGGAAGAAAACAAGGAAGGAAGCAAGGAAGGAAGAGAAAGAAAGAAGGAAGGAAGAAAGGAAGAAAAAGAAAAAAAGAAAGGAAGGAAGGAAGAAAGGAAGGAAGAAAGGAAGAAGGAAGGAAGGAAAGGTACCAAAGAGGGCTGGAAAGAATACTCAGTGGTTAAGAACACTTGTTATTCTTACAGGGAACCCATGTTCAGTGCCCAGTACCCACATGGATGCTCACAACTGTCTGTTACTCCAGTTCCAAGGGATTCAGTGACCTCTTGTACACACACACACACACACACACACACACACACACACACACACACACATAGGCAAATAACTCAGTGCACATAAAATAAAAATAAATCTTTTAAAATATTTTTGAAGAAATCAAAGATTAAAAGAAAAATGGACTGTGACAATCTGTTCACAAGAGAAATTCTAAATGGCTAGAAAGTCATTCGGTGTGCGCTGCCCTACCTGTCCAGCTGAGGCACCTGCACTATGAACAGTCTGTGAACACAGTCCCCAGCAGCCTTCTGGGAAATCATCTTAATAATGGGGCTCAATTGACGAGTGCCTTCCTGGCACACACAAAGCCCTGGGTAAGAGCCTCAGCACCGCAGAAACTGGGCACGATTTTGGGTGGCGGAGACAGGAGAATCAACTATGGATTGAGTTTGAAGCCAGCCTGGGCCACATTGGGGCCTTGTCTCAAAAAAAAAAAAAAATCAACTAGTGTTCTTTGGAGAGTTCATTTTTTCAGAGATGACAACAATCTAATTGGAAGAATGTGAACAAATGTGTTTCGTTGTGTATTTTGTCATCTGCACAAACTCCCAGTAGGTAGTATGTCCCTGTGCCAGCTAGGGGAAGCTCTCAGTCTATACAGGCTCCTGTTATTGAGCTGGAGATCGCTAGAGGGTGCCAGGGTGCTGTGCATAGCTGGAGGCTGCTGGGCGGAGCTGATGCTCCAGCCTAGAGACTGTGCCAACCCCGGGTAGCTAGCATGTGGGATGAGGAACTGCCATTGCAAAGCCCACTTGTCTTGCCTGTGCTTCCTGTGACCCGTAAGTGTGCAGATCATATCCCATGCAGGCACTGACTGCTTAAAGACTTCTGAATTGGACACTGGGTGGGACTCCAGATCTACTGCCATATTCAGAAAAGTATGACATTTCTCTTCCCCATGTTGTTCTGAAGCCAACAGCCTTGCCTGTGACCTTTGAGTCCTTTTTTTTTTTCTGAGCCTCCATAGCAATTGCATGTCTGACACTCTCTTGTAAAGCTGTTGAGAACCGCCCCCAGGCAGCTACCAATACTCTCTGTGCCTAAAGATTTGCCCAGTTTTCAAGCATTTACATTCTTTTTGTTAATAGAGAATTGGGTATTTGGATGAATTTTTCTTGCCTGTGTTTTTCTATAATAGAAAAATATGTATAGATGAGCTCCCTCCCACAAATGCATGCTTTTGATTCTTAAAAAAAAAAAAAAAAATGTCTGACGTTAAGGGAATAAACCACCTGGATTTAGCATCATGCATTTCCTTCTGTTGGAATTTCTTTGGAAGACTTTTGACCTATGGTAAGGCAGCTGTCACAGCCAGCAAGCATGTGGAATTTAGCTGTGTCCCAGCCCTATGCATTTCCGGGGTGGGGTTGGCTGTAAAAGAAGGGTGTGGTGGCTCCTGTCCTCTAACTGTATCTTCCTGGGTTCCAGGCCTTTTGGAGCGCCAGGAATGCTGGTTTGAACTGCACATGCTGGCAGATAAGACCCCAGCCCTGGAAATCTTCTGCTGAGAAGGGAAGATACAGGTCTGATAGGGAGTCACGTCTGGCTGAGCTCAAAGTCCACCCTTGCAGGCAGATAGCACACAGCAGAAACCAGGCCCCTCCCCTGGCCTGGTCTCACACCTTCCACCCAATCTCACTTTTATCTAGTCAGCCTTGGAGTCTGACAGCATGCCTCCCCCTAAGGGGCACGTATGCATGTACCTTGCACACTGTAGACAGATGCACACACACTTAAGTTCCTGAATCTGGGGCTGGGTTAGTTCCCCATCTCATCCCCTGGAGGCAGCAGTGAGCAGCTCTGGTCACGTGGCCTTTGTTGCCCTTACCAGCATGTCCTGTCCAGGAGTATCTGCTGGCTAGAACTGCAGACACAGCTTCAGATGCCATCTGATGGCTCTGCAGGAAGCTGGCCACTTCAGCAAAACACCTGGGAGTAAGATCGAAATGTCTCTAGTCTCAACTTCTGTTTCTGTAATTACTAGGATGAAACTCCCTTACCTCTAGTATTCAGAGGGAAAAGGACAGCTCAGGTTCTCAAGAAGTCAGGGTTAGGATTGAGGCATAGCTTGTCTCTTAAGACTGAGCAGAGCAGGAAAGACTGGGTGGGAATGGGGAGATGGGATCAGAAGGGAGAGCTCAAGTCATAGCCAGAGGAGAATTTGAAGAGTAGCCTAGAGATGTGTCTGTGACAGAGAGGCCCTGGAGGAAGACCACAGCAGTCAGGTGACAGCATGACCCAGGCTGTGGGACAGAAGGCAGGGCTACTAGGAAGACAGGCAACATGAATCACAGTGGGTAAGGAAGGCCAAATAGGGTATGGGTGGCCATCAGTCTGAGTGACTTCAGGCAGTCCAGATAAGGAGTGTGCCTGGGATTTGGTGAAGAGCAGGGCTGTGTTTCCCTGACTCCAGGTAATCCATTAACATTACAAAGGGCACATAAGTTTCTTCTCTAAGCTAGGTCCCTCTCCCCATGCTCTGTTCTCACTTTCTACAGTTTAGTGAAGTCTGAGACGGAACCGATGTGGTGACATGGCAGAAGGGCTGCGGAATGTCCTGGAAACACACTGACAGAACTCTGTGGAACGAGCTAGCACTACTTGGCCTTGAGGGCTGTGGAGTGCAAGGGGGTAGGAGGGTGGGCAGTGCCAATGGGCACATCTGGGCATGCCCTGGTGTTCTTCAGGATGCAGTTTCTTTTTCAGGGAGAAAAACTTGAGTCACATGTAGGTTTGTCAAATGTCCTACTCATGATGTCTAGATCCATGGCCAGAAGCTCTCTCCTGCAGGCTGGCCAACTTCAAGGCCTGCGCTTTATATACTTGGTTTGTGTTAGCACTTCTGTATTAGCTTGAAACTTTGTGATTTAAAACTAACTCACACCTGTGTAAATGACTTGGGTCCAGTTACAGTCATGTGTTTTCTGTCATGTGACAAAGTCTCAGGATATCCTAGATCAACTGTAGCAACCTTGAACGCCCCTAGGGTCCATTGCTGTATATTGCCTCCACTCCAGCCTAGTCTGTTGGGCATTTGAGAGATGCCTGAATCAAGGAACAAGGTGGGCGTGACTGTTAGTCAAGACATAGGACTGGGGTGCCCATAAAGAATGTCCCCCTGGGTGGCCTAGCAGGATTAAGGGCAAGCTCACGAGCCAGGCAAGTGGGGCTGTGGGGAAGAACAGCTTTTTTCATGCATTACTGGAAATACCTTGTTGCATTTTTCTAGATGGCATCAAAGATTCCCTTTGCCACCGACCTGATAGACCACGAGAAAACGGCAGTGAATCCATTCGGGAAAGTGAAGTACAGCAGAGAGAGGATGGCACAGAGAAGTGCAGAAATGAGGTTGGTGACAGTTCTGCATTCCGGGCTCCCCAGCTCAATGCCACAGGCTGCCCAATGCATGCGTCAAGTGCCACGGACTGTCCAGCCTGCTGTGAGCACCCAGCATAGGTGGTGATCTAGGAAGACCCGGTCCCCGCCCTTGGCATTCCATTACCCTGCCTGATGCCCATGCAGACACGGAAGACTGGAACTGCAGGGGTGCAGCTGCAGTCACCACCAGCCCCACCCAGCCCCCGCTGTTCCAGGGTTTAAGCACTTGTCTTCCCCTCAGTGCTGTTTTTCAGCCTGTAGGACTATAGCTAGCTCTCCCATCCTGGTGTGCTGGGGATGGCTCCTGCCAAAAGATTCCAGGAAAGAAAGGCAGAACACATGGCCAGGCGGTGGTGGCACGTGCCTTTAGTCCCAGCACTCAGGAGGCAGAGGCAGGCAGCTCTCTGTCATTTCGAGGCCAGCCTGGTGTACAAGAGCTAGTTCCAGGACAGCTTCCAAAGCCACAGAGAAATCCTGTCTCAAAAAACAAAAAACAAAAACAAAAAAAAAAAAGAAAGGAAGGAAGGAAGGAAGGAAAGGAAAGGAAAGGAAAGGAAAGGAAAGGAAAGGAAAGGAAAGGAAAGGAAAGGAAAGGAAAGGAAAGGAAAGGAAAGGAGGCAGAACACATGAGAAGGCTGGTTCATGGTAGCTTAGGACTTAACACCCTCATATTGGAGTCTCTGGCTAAGGACTCACCAGGTTGCTGATATCAGGAGATGGTAGCACAGCAATTGTCCTAAGAGCTCAGGCCACCTGGAGCTCAGGAGAGCATTGGGGAAGGTTGGTGCCAACAAAGGACCAACAAGGGAGGGGGAGATCCCTGAGCCAAGCCTCTGGGACAGTGTAGAAGCTATGCAGGGTCCAGGGCAGGTGGCAGACTACTAAACTGTGTGGGGAGGGATGTGGGGCTCCTGACATTTAGCCAGGGGTTTCTGACCTCTTTCTGCCATTCTAAATCAGTGTATTTACAGTCCACAAATAGCAACCTTGGAGTCTCAGCCCAATGTTAACAGAGATAGAGACATATTTAAAAATCTCAGATCAATGAGATGCTCTGCTTTGTCTAAAGGTTCAGCAAAACTGTTTTACCTATGAAAAGGAATGATGTTCTCCACATATATAAAATGGGCTCCTAAAAATAGGCACTCTAACTGAAGTTAGAGATGGTTGTTAGCCGCCATGGGGTGCTGGGAACTAAACCTAGGCCCTATGTAAGCACCATGGTACTCTTAACCTCTAAGCCATCTCTCCAGCCCCAACTTGAGAGTGTTTAAGCATCATGACCCTGTAGCATCAAACCCAGCATCTCTGGGGGAGGCAAGGAGCCACATGGTGCCTCAAATGGTTTGTGGGCTGCAAGAGAAAAGGTACTTTCTCTATGGTTGGAATGAGGACCACTAGCCTAAGGCCAACATCCAAGTAGCAAGTGTCTTGTGTTCCAGTGCTTCGCCATTAGCAGAGCTGGAAGAGAAGATAAGGCGGCATACACAGCAGATCCGTGCTAGAAACTTCCTGGGTACCAACCCATTGCAAGACATGAAGATGGCCAACCAGGATTTGGAAACTGTGAGTATCTGTTGCCCCGTTTGAGAATGTCTCACTAATGGAAGAGAATTCTATATCACTGCAGAGCAGGTACCCTCTAACAATGTGGGTTGCCTACCACACATGTATTAGCGGTCTCCAGAAAATATCCTGGCTACTTGTTAGCCCTCAGCTGCACTAGGCAAAATGGGATGCATGTGCTAGCAAAGGGCCTCTGAGGACAGAACCGATCCATTCCACAAGTCTGTGTAGTCTTTGCGTAAGGCTTCACACCCAAAGATGAGGCTGAAGCCCTGTTCCGGCTGAAATGGAGTTGCTTAGAGAGGGCTGGATCATTGCTGTTGCCTGGGAAGAGAACAGGGTGCCAAATCCACAGAGATCTGAATGGCCACGCCCCTGACCTCCTAAACAGAGCAAATTGTGCCCTTAAACCCTTCCCAGACTCTTGCAGTCTAACCACAGTCCCACCTACTGACTGATACGATACCATCAGCACCCACCTTGTGCCTCAGTGGCCCTGCCTTTTGAGAGAATCACGGAGTAGAGGCCCTTCTTGCTCTGATAGGAAGCTGGTAGAAGGAAAAAGAGGTTTTGTGATAGTGGTACTTGGGTGTCCATGACCCTGCCACTGCTTAGTTCCAGGTTAATCTGACACTGACTCAAGACCAAGCTTTCTGCACAGCCTATCTGTGACTCCATCTCTGCCCCGTCCAGATGGACAAAGGTAAACACAAACCCACCATGAACTTTTCCCATCAGCACGACTCGTTTGCACCCAGATTAATCATCATTCCACCACAGCAGAAAGAAACAAAACTGGTGCTACCATTCTAGACAGAGAAAGTAGGGGCAAAACAACTTGAGGAGAAAGCCCTGGATGCCCAGTTGCAGGGTGTCTACAGCACTGGCTTCTGGCCTCCCAGAACTGTTATCTGACCTTTGGCCTAATAGCTGAGCCTGTATCCTAACACATAATGAGGCCAGCAAAGTTTTGTAAGAAGGAAGTCCCTGGAGGTATAGTATTAAGAGCCTGCTGAGAGAGAGAAAACACCAACCAGTTATGAGATTCATTCTACAGATGCCTAAAATACAAGAATGCAAACCCAGGCCAAATCTCAGCATGGATTTGGTACCAAGTCCCATTCCTAGCAGAGAGGCTATTGATAATGAATTATAGGCAAGTGAAGATGCCCTAGTGTCTGCCCCAGGTGACAGTCAATTGACCATACTTCAGTGAGTCACACATCCAAGAATATTTGGGCAGCACAAATTGGACTTACTGGATTTTGTGGGGGGAGCACAAAGTTAGGTGGGTAGGGAGGGGGCACAGATCTGGGAAGAGTTGGAAGAGGTGAGTAAATACAATTAAAACATGATAGACAAAATTCTCAAAGGACTAATAAAAATGTCTTTTAAAAAAGGATGCAAACTTAGGGACAGTGGTTAAAGCTTAAAGCCTGTCCCCTGGAGAATCACCACTGTCTCACTAGCCCACCCAGCAGAGCCTGTCTTCCTAAGGAATTCATTCTTACAGCCAGGAGAGAGGTGTGGTGAAAGTGACCGTGTGATGTCTTCCTGAGTGTGTGAGGGCACCTTGGGGGTCTGCCCCGAGGTGAGCAGGTAGATGTAGAGGAGCCACTGTGAGGTCCTGGGGACCTAGAGAGTGAGCCATGGCTACCCACATGTCACTGTCAGGGCAGGAAGAGCCTTCTCAGTATACTACTCTCCAAGCCTCTCAACTGACACACAGACTATATAGGTGATCCCTGGAATTAGCTCAACACAGAGTGGCCAGTGCTCAGCCAGCAACACCTGTGAGGTCTGGTCATTGTCTGGGGTCTCATCCTGATAAATGAGGAACCGGCCTGCTCTTGGCCTTTCAAGAGAGACCTCAACAAGCTTGCAAGAAAGCAGAAAGGGATAAACAAAGACCAAATTAAGAAGGGCACAATAGAGCTGGAGCACCTGCTACTCTTCTGGAGGATCTAAATTCAGTTCTCAGCACCCACATAGCAATTTAGAATCATCTTTAATTCTAATTCCAGGGGATCTAGTGCAATCTCTGACTTCTGTAGCATCAGACACATATGTGATGCACATACATATATGCAGGCAAAACAGTCATACATTTAAAACAAATTTTTGAAGCAGCAGCAGCAGCACTTTGTTATGAGCAATTTCCCACCAGCCTGGTCCCACAGCCTGGTCAGTCCCAAAATAACACACAGAGACACTATATTAATATTATGAAACTGTTGGCCAGTTACTAGTGTTTCTTATTGGCTTTCTCTGTCTTAAATATTAACCCATAATCACTAATATATGTATTTATACATGGTCTTATCTTACTGAGAATGCCAGACTCTATTACTTTCTTCCAGATCACGCCATGACCCCACTACCTTTCCCAGAATCCTCCACCTCTCCTAGTCCCACCTATCTTGCCTTCCTATTTGCCAACAGTGATTTATTCATTAACCAATAAGAGAAACATATTTACAAAATGACATCCCCCATCAGCACTTAATAGCATTAATCCCTGGGCATTGATGGAAACAGCTGCTGCCATGAACCAGGCCAAGTGCTTGGAGGTGATATTAAATAAGTCCTCCAGGAAGTAGAATGAAAAGAAAAAGGAGATGGACAACAGAATTGAAACAAGATTTTAAGACAGCAACAATTAGAAGATCGTTCTGAGAGGTTCAACATGTGACAGCCTATTTCAGGAGAAGCCAGAGCAAGAGAAAGGAACAATAAAGAAAAAAAATTAGCTTTCCTGGCATCCATGAAACCCCGTGTTTGATCTGCAACACATGGGACATGGTGGCACATGCTTACAATCCCACACTTAGTAGAGGGAGGAGGATTAGGAGTCCCAAGGCCATACTTGGCTACATAGTGAAGCTCACACCAGAGTGGGGTTACACAAGACCCTGTCTCAAAAGAGAGCAACAACTAGAGAAAGGGTACCGTCCGTAGTCTACATAGTAGTAGCTTGATATCCTGACCAAAGACTAGATAATCCCATTGCTAGGTAGATCATGGAGGCTGAGGCCAAGCAGCATAAATTCGATCCAGTCTTTTAAAAATGTTGCCTGTCCTGCCTGTCTAACTTACACTTCCTTGTATTCTCCCCAAAGGCCAAGAAACTTCAGGAAGAATTAAGGAAACTGAAACTGGAGATGACCTTGAACAAAGAACATCCATTTGCAACTTTCCCTGGAAACCTTTCGCTTCACCCACCAGCATCACAGCCTCAAAATATATTTTTTAACACAAAATACTAGGAAAGTGGTGTCAGCAGGGATAACAAGTACCTCCCACAGTGAGGAGCTGCTACCCCTGTGTGGTGTGGTGATTGGCAGGAGGGCGACTAGTGGGTCTTCAGCTGCTCCTCAGGTTGCAGCTTTGGATAGGCCTGACTCTCTTCTGAGGCTGTAGGTTCAACTGCATTAAAAGAAAGAATGCTGTAAGCAAGCCTAACTGTTCTCCTCTGTCATCGTTTTCACCATCCAGTGAACAGAGCCCTTGAGCCAAAGCCACAAAGGTGTCCTAGTTTCCATGGACCCATGGGAAGGAGAGACTGACTTCTGGCCTGACTTCTGCAGCTCCATCTTCATTGGGATGGGGTTAATGGAGCATGCTGTGTTGTTCAAACCAAAGTGTCCTTTGGCCTTGACCCTTTGTCTGTGCAGGGACAGTGACACCTCCACCCTGTAGGAGCCCTGGGCAACCCACCATCAATCACCCAAGTTAAAACCTCGTCCTACCCATCCCTGTAATCCTTTTGCCACTCATTCAGGGGCTGCATGTCAGGTTCCAGCTCTGGATGTGACTATAAACTCAGGGCTTTTTCTTCAGGATTTTGGGAGCAGACATAGAACTACTCGAACTTTCTGTTTCCTCTTGTGCTAGTTCTGGTTAACAGAGTCCCCTTTGGAATTTCCTAATCTTGTAAACAAAAGAAATTGAAAACATGTTTGAAGGGTTAGGGAGATGGTAACTTAGTGGGTAAGTTATTGACTGCTCTTCCAGATCACCCACACAGCAGCTCATGATCATCTGTAACTCCAGTTCCAGAGGATCTGACAACCCATTATGGCCTCCATGGGCACAAGGCACATGCATGGTACAAACGTGCATGTAAGCAAAACACACCAACACACAAAAAAGTAATTTTTTTTAAAAAAAGACTTGGAAGAAAGCTCAAAGATCATTTTATTGGAGTTTGAGAGAAAAACAAAGCTGGAAACGCCAGGAGCTTCTGGCACAAGAAAAAGGACAAGAAAGTCATCTCTATAAAATATTACACTTGTGGTGTGTGTAGTGTGTGTGTACGTGTGTGTACGTGTGTGTGTGCATGTGTGTGTTTGAGTGTGGCAAATACATGGAGATCAAAGGACAATTTGAGGAAGCCAGGTCTCTTCTTCAATCGTGTGGGTTCCTAGGGAATGGAGTTCAGGTCATCAGGCTTGGTAGCAGGTACCTTTACTGGCAAAGCCATAATGCTAGCCCAAGAGACTAATCCTTAAACTAGTGGTAACCAGCTGTAAGCAGCTGCATGGGGATGGGGGTGGGCCTTCAGAGTGAGAATGTCCTAAGGGTTAGGGCAAGCAGGCTTAGGAGTTTGGTTGTCTTTCAAAAAAGACAAAGAGGGAGGAAGCCAGAGAGGTGGCTCAGCTGTGACCATGCTTACTGAAAAGCCTGATGGCCTGACTTTAGTTAGTCCCCACAGCCCATATGGTAGGAAAGAACCATGGCACACATTGGAACGTGTGTGTGTGTGTGTGTGTGTGTGTGTGTGTGTGCGTGTGCGCGCGCGCGTGCGCGCACGCACACATACACATTTAAAAATTTTAATTAAAAAAGGAGGTTGGGCATGAGTGGTGGTACATAACTTTAACAGCACTGAGAAGACAGAGGCAGTGAATCTCTGAATTTTAGGTCTGACTTGGTCTACAGAGCAAGTGAAACCATGTCTCAAAAAAGAAAGGAGGAGAAAAGGGAAAGAGATAGACTAGTTATGCTTTTTAAGTTAGAACTCAGAAAAACAAAACAGGCTTAGCAGCAAAAATCTATAAGCAACTGCAATGAGGGAGGGTCTTCTGGATAGCACAGTGTGCAGTCTTATTACAGAGATTATTCCTCTTGTCTCCTTTATGTCTTTAAATTTGTTATGTTACTTGGCCGTGTGATTGACAGACCAACTTGAGTTACCTCTTTGTACTCTCGTGATCTTTTGGGCAGCATAGAATGCCATGTCTTCACCTGGGGCCAGAGGTACAATTCAGATCTTATTCTTTTAACCAAAAATCATTTCGCAGAAAACATTGAAAACAAGTAAAAGAAAAAGAGGGGTTGGTGGGAGGTCCTAGCCACCAAGCCTTAACAACCCAAGTTCAATCCCTGAAACCCATTTTTTTTTAAAAACATCTTTTAAATATGCAGTGGTGTACATCTGTAATCCCAGCACTCCTACAGATGAAGTAGAAGGAAGAGACAGGAGAATTGCATAGAAACTCACAGGCCAGCTAATCTGAGGTATAGCAACAGAAACAAGAAACCCTGACTCAACAAGGCAGAAGGCAAGAACTGACACCCCACCACCACGCCCGCCATTGTCCTCTCTGGCTTCCATATGCGTGTCTGCCTGTCTGCACTCATATTAGACACATGCACACAATTAACGTATATGTATACATGTATGTGTGTCTAACATATATGTCTTTAGAGACAGGGTTTCTCTGTGTAGCCCTGGCTGACCTGCAACTCACTCTGTAGACCATACTGGCCTCGAACTCTCAGAGATCTACCTTCCTCTGCCTCCTGAATGTTGGGATTAAAAGCATGTGCCATCACTGCCCTGGCTAATTTTTAAAATCAAAATAGCCATGCTTTCTCAAGCTTTCCAAAGCCCTGTTGCCTCTACCTTCTTCCTGTAAGACACCATAAATCAAGTAAGAGTGTTAAAAATGTTAATGAACCATGATTAAGGCTTATGTGCATATGATCTTCACATATGGTCTTGCTCCTTTCCAAGATAGAAAGCTAAAACTTTCTGGGAATCTCACAAAGATCATAAAATTTTTGCAGTAAGTACTCAACGTCCACATAACTCTTGTGACCTAGGGTTTAACCTTATCTGCTGTTATCCTAGCCAGTGCACACCAGGAACCTTCTTGTTCTTATTTACTGAAGAAAAAAAAATGTTCCTTAGCAAGCCTTGATACACAACTTCAGAAGCCACCAAATTCATATGTATGACTGTTGTAAAGACACTTAAGCGTGACTCTCTTAAGAGGGCCACACCCTTGCTTGATTCTGTTTTACCCTTTCCCTGGGTATCTTTCCCTTCCCACACCTCACCCACTGTTAAATGCTAATCTCCCCAACTCAGAGCTTCATAGTAAAATGAATCCCAGCTTCCCAAGTGAAGACCTCTGATCTCAGGCTGCTTGGAGTAGCAGTGTGGAGCCAGGCCATGTTTCCAACCACTGCTCTACTGGTGCTGGCAGGCAGCCCCCACCCCACCCCCTCTAAGGTCACACAGAATACTGCAATCTTAACCCAAAGTCCATAACCTTAGCCAGTGGTTTTCTGGGGAGTTCTTTTCTTAATCTTGAGATATTTCCTAATGGGAGAATGCCACAATTATTCGGATTTCTAGGGGGCAGGATCTCTTCAAAGCAACCCTTGCAGGGTGGCCAGAAGGGAGCCTGCCCAGCTTCCAAAGCTCTGTGACCTGTGGGAGGTCCAGTATTTTCAGTTACAAAGACTTAGTGAGGCCTTGCTGTGGAGGACATCCAGGGAAGTGTGGCCTGCCCACAGTGCCCCCCTAGGGAGCCTTGGTGTACTCTACACAGTGCCTAGTGTCCCACTCCACACAGCACCTAGTGAGCCAGTCTCCAAGGCCTGCATATCACGGCCCTTACTCTGTGCCTCCACCCAGACCAGGCCCTTTGACTCTCAGAAGCCTCAGCTCTGACAAAGTCAGGCCTTGTTGAAGGGACTGCCCAGCAGGCAGGGCCTGGTAAATTCAGAAAACGGAAGCAGAGGCAGGCCCAGGTATGCCAGCGTGTGTGTTGTGCATCACCAGTTATCTGGCCAGGCAACCCTGGGACAGGCCTGTGGCTGTGGCAGCACCCTTCATGGTCATGGTTTGGGAACACTGTGAGTCTCCCCACCGGAGTATGGAGTGAGTCAGTGAGACTCAGAAGGGTAGTGCTCTGCCAGGACCTGCAAAGAAGTCATCTACAAGATGGAGGCAGGCACGGGGCTAGTGGCAAGTAGGGGCCAGGCAGCTGTGGAAGGGGAATCTTGAAGCCAAGTCTAGGCTCCAAAGCAGTGGCAACTTGCTGCAGACCTCCTTCCCTGTCCAGGTGGTTAGGGGCTGGGATGAGGCCCTGAATGGCCTGTGTTTAAATTGCAAATCCATCTCCTTGTTAGCTGCTTACATATTCTACCAAACAGAGAACAGTATTTTAAAAATGGCTTCCAAATACACAGACCTGGCAGGCAGGCACAGAAAGCAGCACAAGTGGGCTGTGGCCCCTTTTCTGTACTCCCCAGCTCTGACCACCAGCATCCCAGGAGGTTCCCTAAGTCCCTCCTGTCTGTGTCCCTCTAAGCCAGTCCTGTCCCTTACCATGACCTAACTACTTCTGCTGACATCTGGGAATAGAAGCCCCTTAACCACACAAAAAGTTTGCAAGCCTCTGTTCTTACCCCACATCAAGCTTGACAGCTAGCAAACTTACTTTCCACCCCTTGCCTCTGTTACCTGAGAGTCCCTCCACAAGGGCACCTGCTTACTCAAGTGTCTATTTCCACTTCCCCTTCCCTCACAGACCCAGTGGCTCACAACCTGTGGGTGTCCCCAGCTTGGGAGCTACTGAACTGGGGGAGGGGTCCTGCTATGGTCTGTGCTTAGCAAGCATCCCCAGTACTTAGGCACAGATGCTCAGCTGTTATTTGGGCTGAGCGAGTGGGCAGCCTCCCACCAGCCATCCACCTGGGACTGGGCTGGGAATGGTTCCTGCAGCCACCATTTTTGCTCCAAATTCTGCTGCACCCAACTCTTAAGAGAAGGCATGAAAATAACAGACGCGGGGGGGGGGGGCGGTGCCCCTCAACCGGACTCCGCCCAGGTTTTCTCATCTGCTCTGGAACTAGGGCCACTGATGCCTTAAAGCTAGGTAGAGCGGTGCCAGAGGCGGCCTCGACTGTCCTCCGCTGCCGTCATTTACCAGCGGGACAAGAACTCCATTCCCAAGCTGAGATGGGCAAGGGCTCAGGAGAGCGGCCGTCAGGGCCTCGCTGCTCTCCTGGTGCCACCAATCAAGGAGATGTAAACCAGACTCAGGGTCCTGGGTCGCAGACGCCGTTGGTCATTGCAACACAGCCGACCCTTAGGGATAATCAGTTACGGGTCCGGATCCGGATCCAAAGTGCAAGTGCTTGCGGAAGCCGGAGGAGGTCTGGGG